GGAAAATTTAAATAAAAAGAAATAGAAATGACAAATAAATACATGAAAAAATGTTCATCATCATTAGTCATTAGAGAAATGCAAATTAAAACAACACTGAGATTCCATCTCAGTGCAGAAAGAATGGCCAGGATCAAGAAAACTGCCAACAAGTGCTGGAGAGGCTGTGGGGTAAAAGGAACTCTCTTACACTGTTGGTGGGAGTGTAGACTGGTAAAACCACTGTGGAGGTCAGTATGGAGATTTCTCAAAAAGCTGGGATTGGAAGTCCCATTTGATCCAGCTATTCTGCTTCTAGGCAAATTCCCTGAAGAACTGAAAACATCATACCACAGTGATATATGTGCACCCATGTTTGCAGCAACACAATTTGTAATAGCCAGATTTTGGAAATAACCTAAGTGTCCATCAACTGAAGAATGGATAAAAAAGCTGTGGTATTTTTATACAATGGAGTACTACTCAGCTATAAAGATGATCACATTGGGATATTTATAAATAAATGGATGCAACTTGAGACCATACTCATAAGAGAAATAAATCAAACTCACATGTATCAACACCGTATAGTCTCCCTAGTGTAAGAAATGGTAAGAGTACATAAAAGTTTATGGTAATCATGATTCCCCATTACATTGCTTTGATGCCTTATAATGTTTCCATTCATTAGTTGGAATGGTTTTATCCTGGGTTGTTTGATTTTTATTGTCTGTGATGATATGAACAGCTATTTTGAAGAAAACAAGACATTAAAATAGCAAGTGCTGATTTAATATCATCTTGTTTTGAAGTCCTACCATGCTTTTGTTTTCTGTTTCCATTGGTTCTATCATGTATCTTATTGGATTTTATTATGTGTGATAGTATAAACAAATCTTTTATGGACAGTGGGATAATATAGTAACCATTGTTCATTTTCTGTTATTTGGTTCTGAATGCCCTGTAATACTTTCATTCTCTTTAATGGTTTTATACTGTTTTGTTATATTTCATACTATTGTGTATGAAGGTAAACCCAACTATTTCAAGGAAAGCAACATTTTGATAGCTACTGTTATATTGGGTTGTCTTGTGGTGAAATACTGTGTTGCTTAAATTGTTCTGTTATGATCTTCTTTGTTATGTCCTCTTTTATCTTAATCTCTTTAAAATAAACAAAATTTTAAAAGATCATAAGAATGGAGTTCCACAAGCTGGGTCAAATTCTAGCTTCACTACTTTTATCAGATGTATGATGCTAAACTAATTACTTAGCTTCTTTGGACCATTTTTTTTGTAAAATGAGGATAGATAGCTAGGCGGGATGAACAGAAATGTTCCCAGAATTTTGTTGTGAGAATGAAATGCTGCGAGAATTAAAAGTACACAAGTACTTACAAGTTATACATTATTGCAGTGACAAACACATAATGAAGATCTAACAGTAATTCCCACTAGTAAGGATTTACACAATTTTTCATTTCAGGAGTCAGGCATCTAATCACATGCAAACTAACTGAGGGACCATTTCTGGTCTGATGATTGTGTTACTGCATTACATCACCAAATTATAGCTTAGTCTCAGCTATGTTTGCTTTAATGGACTTGAGCTGAGCTTGACAAGGCAGGAGACTGAGCACTCCTTCAGATCATGGGTGCTCACTGGGCTCTCCTTAGCCACTGGGTCTGGAAATGCAAGGGTCAGGATAGACCCTAGCCATCTCTTCTCCACAGTGGTTGCTATTTGTAGTTTATATTTAAGAAATACATATAATTTTAAGGCATGACCAAGAAAGGGCCTTCCTCCTGTGGTTGATTTATACAGTCCTATTTATACTCTTATTACAAGTCAGCATTTTGGGTTCTGATTCCCCTAGAGTCTTTATGGTTTGCTTCTGGGTCAGTCAGGTTATATCACTGGTCAAAAACGCTGACCATGTCATTCCAGGCTACAAGATGTGGCTTCCTTGACCTTCATGCCAAGGGTTTGATTGGACTTGGGGATAGCTGGAGCAGAGCCCTGCTTCTCTGAAAGAAAAAACTCAGTCTTGTGGGTTGCTGTTTTAAAGGTTCTGAGTGTCCTGGAGCAATGTGCTAGGATAGCCACAGTTTGAGAATTGAGTCTGTGACCAGGACAGCCAGCATTCTTCAGAGGCCAAGGGGATGACTATGCTATAACATATATTCTGGAACTACAGAGCAATAGAGGGCAACAGGGCCCAAACAACAGAAGGGTACTCACATAATTATCTTTGTTATCAGCTTTGTCATAAAAAAGGAATCACTTCCAAAGGACCTCATTCTGCTCTCTCTAGCTTATATTTCTTCTTTGAATACTGCCCATATCCTAGTCTTTCATCTGGGTGACCCAGACTGTCTTTCACTGTGATTAGACTTCTGTGGCAACCAAAGGTGATTCTCAAGGGCATGTATATTCTTACCTTAAAGATTTACTTCTACCGTTCTTTGTAAACTATCAAAGCTGAGGAGATTTTTTTAAGTCACCTTCTAATTAACTGCTTTCATAAATATAAGTAAAGGCCAAATTGTTGGTTGTTTCTTTCCCTGTTTTTCTCCCCTCCTCTATTTGGCACTAAGGAATTTGCAAATAGGGCACAAAGATCAGATAATGGAAGCAAGAAAGGAGGGTCTGTCCTTTTTACTTAGAGGTCAAGGCCTAATCCCTACAAAAGGGAAGTTGGTAGAAACCTCCTTATCTATCAGAAGAGAAATCCTGTGCATTTGCTTCCCCAGGGAAGCAATAGGAAGCCTCTTGGGTTTCCTAGTGAGTGGCAAAGAGGCTGCTCACGCTGCTGTGCAGGGGAACCTCAGATTCTTTATCTGGGCCCATTGTCCAGGCAGCACCTAAAAAAAGAACCACAGGACTAAACTTGGGAGTGGCTTTGAGGGGAGACTGTTTTTGCTTGGTGCATTTGCTGGACAGAAGTAGCAGGCTTGAAGGAAAACAGGTGTGTAATTGAGATGAAGAAAGATGCTTTCTTCACTTTAGGAAAATGTAGCCTCTGTGTAGAAAGGAGTGACTTAAACTGATACAAGCCATATCATATTGTTAAAAAAAAAACACAAAAAACCCACTGGAGGAAAGACGTTCCTGTAAGAAAAGAATCAAATCCCAAGCCCAACCAAAGAAAGGAGTGTAGAACAGCGATACAAAGAGGATGCTCTATAGGTAAAGTTGGGTCCCCTAGGAAAGGAAATGATAACTTTTTTTAGAACATGTAAAAAGTGCATGGCAGCTAAATTTTGGTCAAAAAAGCTAAATTTTGGTTTAACAAAAATATTTAAAAAATAGAGAAAATGCTGTTTTTCATATAAGCCATAGTTATTGAATTACAATACCTATGATAAATATTTAGCTGAAGGATTTCATAACAACTAAAAAAATAAAATGCACACTGAAAAGCAGGATTCCAAGGTCTTTTTCCTTCACTTAGTTATTATTTTTTTTTTTAGCGATAACCCACTGTGGAAGCCCATAGCTTTGCCAGCAAAAACAACATCCTGCCATCGTTAAAAGTATGTTACAATTTGTGGCTACGAACCCAAGATTTGACATGGAGTGGTGTTCTATTTCAACCCAATTTAATTATATGCTCCTTTTATATATTGTAGGTGGCTCACACTAGCAGAATTGTTTTGCCTGGTGAAAAACTGGCCATGACTTGTCATAATGGGCTGGTTTATAGAACCACTGAAGTATAGTTACTGCCCATCATTCGGGAATTATGGCACCATAACAACCCTTTATTTACATATACTGCTGAGACAGTAAAAACAGCAAATAGATTTCTTAAATCGAGACGGCAGAAATTTCCCCCCAGGGTACTTGGCCCTCATTGTGGCAGTAACATATGCAAGTCTAAACAACTTTGGTGTCTGTATTTCAGCAGTGCATCATTTCATGGACAGTTTATAACATTCTAATAATAAAATGGACTCTAAATTTGGAGTTGGGCTTCATGAACATTAGATGGTAATGCACACAGCAGAATATGTAATTTGTGAGGAAGGTTTAAATTTGCTAATCACACTACTGCTGAGCGACTCTGCAAAAGGGCTGAGGTGAAGTCAGCAGTCTGAATGCCAGGAGGTAGTGGCAAGCTTTCAACCAGGAGAAGGCTTGGCCTAGTTTACATTAAGAGATGCGGCATCTGGCATCTTGGTAAAGGCAGGAATTCTTTTATCTTTACACTCCTTGGTCTAAAATGATCTTGGCTTTTCCCTCCTTAAACAGTAGAAATATTTAGAACTCTGTCTCTCTCTGTGTCTATGTGTGTGTGTGTGTGTGTGTGTGTGTGTGTGTGTGCGCACACGCGCATTCCTGTGCATGTATCTGTTTCTGTCTGTTTCTCCTTCATGAAATGCCTTTGGAAAAAATTACCGTGGCACCGTATCATTACTACACCTCCTGAGGTTTCACAGAAGTTTCCCTCTCCTTATTCTTGACTTTTACTCTTTATAGAACTAGATTTTTAACACACACGTTTCAAAAACGTGCTCTGAATATCTTCACTGTATGTCTGTTCCTGGGGTGGCAGGTCCACCCTCACTCTTACTTAGTTTTTAGTAAAGTTGTGTCTGCACCCAGTGAGCCATGCCAACCAGGGAAAGGGTTTTGCACTGATATCATAAACAAGACCGTTACTTAGCAGTCTGCAGTGACTGGCAGGTGGCTCATGAAGGCACACTTTAAAAAGTCCTATTAGTCCATTTCCCTGAACTCAGAAAGGGTGTAAGGAGGACAAGGAATGGGAAGACTGGGTGGCATCTAAGGTCTTCTGCACAGTGCCAGTGGAATGCTGCAAGTGTGTGTGGGGGGGGGGGAATAGGGTCCTCCTGTAATTGTCAACCTTTGAAGTTGCTCTTGGAGCAGGTGGATTAAGAAGCTCTGCTAGCATCCTGGTTGTGTGTCCTTTTCAGGGGAGCTCTGGAAAGGCTGTGAGCAGACCTGTCGCCCTTCCTCCCTTCCCCGCGGGGCGCCCAGGGCGCAGGGCACTCACCCCCTGAGGGCAGGCCTGAGCAGCTGCCTCCATGCTGACAGGGGCTGCGCTCGCAGGCATCGGGGTAGAGCACGCAGCCCAGCTTCAGCTCTGTCAGCCCCACGACCTCGGCAAAGCTGCTGCGTTTGTTCTGCAGTGGCAGCTCGTTGTTATTCAGCACCACGGAGTCCAGGCAGCCCTGGAAGCCACTGAGCACCTGCGTGACCCGCGTGTCGGTCAGGCTGCGGATGTTATCCGCCTGCACCAGGGCGCCGAAGTAGATGCTGCTCTCAGTGCTCAGCGTTTGGAAGTAGAGGGGCGCCCTGCGCCGCTCCACGTAGCTGTCGTCCAGGGACAGGCTGGTGAAATTGCGATTGAGCTCCAGAAAGACTGAGTGCCAGCTCCCGTCGTTGACCATACGGCCCGAGATGCCCAAGATTCCGGGGCCGCTGCCGCAGTCCAGCTGGAACCACAGCTTGCCGTCCACAATCTGTGCGGGAAGGAATACCAGAGCCCTTTTAAATTTGCATCTGTCAAGATATTCCCAAACACCGCGATCCTCACCAGTCTGAGAGACTGACAGAATGCTCCAGATGGACACCGCTCTGATTCAGTCATGAATCTGCTGTGGTTTGATTTGTAACAACCAGCACCCCCACCCCAATACCTGCCAAGAAAATGCATGCCTGGTGTTTTACAAATCTTCCTGTAATTAGTGATAAAGCTCAGCTTTAAAAATCCACAGTTATATTTAAAAATGTTTCTATTCTTTGAATTTCCACCCTTTAAAAATGTACAGCAGTAACATATATGGAAGCATGTTTATTCTCTGCACCTTTCTCAGACATTTTCAGCACAGGAACGCTTTCTGTGAACCCATTAATATTTATTGGACATCTACCACGTGGTAAACTGTGTGCCTGGTGCTGTAGAGCAAAAAGTTATCTCTGTCTTCCTGGGGATTACGGTCTGCTGGAGCAGATGACCGTATATACATACATATATATTCCCTGAATAAGTTTATGTGAGTGTATTGTAGGGGAGAGAAAGAGGCCAGGAAGAAATATAGGTTCCCTGTTTCCCAACTCTATGTATATTTCAGATTTTAAAACTTTGCTATATTAAACATTAGTGTTATTCTTAAGACTGTCTGTTGGTATGCTGCTTATTATCACGCAGTTCAGAGGGCTTGGCCATTTGCCTAGACTAGACATATATTTAACAACATCTGGCTCTGCAGAAGGATCTTATGGTTAGCTGCTCATGTCTTGTAGGTGCTCCTAGGCCCTGGTCTAGGGTGCTGTACTGAAGACCTGCCTGCTTCGTGAGTAGCATTAGTGCAAAGAAACTTTTAACTTTCCCCAGGAGATTAACTCCAGGGGACATTAGGCACAAGAGAGGAAGCATGTGCCAGTGAAGGATGCTGGTTGACAAATAGCTGCTGGGTAGGGATTAATCCTCCATGGAGATCCAGGTTCAACTGTTGCTGGAGAGTGGGACTGGATTTTGGCACTTCTGTGATTAACCATGTCTGCATGTCTCAGAAGCTCTAGGTGGCTTTAGGATCATGGGAATGAGGGCTGGGCCCCAGTCTAGCCAAGTTTATATTTGGCCATGAAGGGATTCACAGCCAGAAGCTGTGAGACAAAAGCTTTTTTTCTGGTCTATATCTATGACCCAAAAAAAGATCCTGGGGAGGCCAATATCAGAGTCATGAAAGAAGGGGCAGCTGTCTTTGAGGATTTGCAGGCATTTGAGGACAGAAGAAAGGGGAAAAAAGGAAAAGAAAGAACATGAGAAGACAACACAGACCCTTCAGACCACTAACAGCTTAGGAGATATAAATATCAAATGAAGTCATAGAAATAGGTTGAAACTATAATTCTGAATGTGTTTTACTCCTGATAGACTTAGCTATTATCACTGCTTTACTCATTCTCAAAAGTAGAATGTTCCTCTGTGTGTCTATGTTTCTGCATGTTTCAAAGACAGCTAATTTATAGCAACTCTCATTTCTGCCTTTAAGACTCTTATGCATTTTCCCATCCTGGCACCCTCTAATTTGCATGTAAAGTTATTAGGGTCAGATCACATGAAAACATGTGTATAAAAAGGCTAGGGACTTTGAGAATCAGAAAACTTCCAGGAATTCAGCAATGCTGAATCTAATTAAGGCTCTGTCAAATATCACCCAGGTCCCTGGTGAGAATAATTTAACCCTCTGGGTTTGGGTTTGGAGAACAGAGAGAAGAAATGTGGCTTATTTTATAAGAATACCAGAACACAGCCTGCCTGGTAAGCATGAGATCCTGAGTTAGATTTCTGGTACAAAATAACAAAAAACAAAAACCATAGTTGATCCTGTCATAGATACTTCATATACACATAATTTTCTCTGTCATATAAATGTTCAGACATAAAAGGACCAGACTGGAGACACATCTATTTCCTTTCCAGAGAATTTTCATATGCAATCTTATGCAATTTCCTTTGCCTCTTTAATTTTAACAAAATGGACTGAATGGATATTATAAATCATATCACAGTATTTGCTCAATGGCAACTCCTGGATAATATCCATATTTGTATTTCAGTTTAAGTAATAAAATAACCAAATGTGACTTTGGAGACTACCTTCTTCTGCCACAGCCTGTTGGGAGCCGCGTCTGTGATAGCTCGCCTTGCGCGGCGGACGTGAGGCCTGTAGTAAAGAGCAAAGCCTGAGGTAGATTACCCCTCCCATCGAATATGTTAGTTTCCTGCTTACCGCGTAAACAACCCGCTCAACAATATAGTCTGCCTGGCAACTGATGATGTTAGCCAATCAGCTTGCCTTGCTTACTTTAACATGATTGGACACTGTACCCGTATATATACCGGTGCCACCCCTGGGCGGAAGAAGAAGCCAGGTAGAAGCCCAGAAGTAAAAGCCCAAAAGGAGCCGCGGAGAGCGGACCGGTAGAGGCTTTGGGGCAGACTGAAGCACAAAAGGAGCCGCGGGGAGCGGACCAGAGGAGGCTTCAGCTGGGAGAACCCAGGGCAGGCTGTACGGAGAAGGAAAATAAAAAGAAAAGGTTGTCCACTACCAGACTTTGTCGTGTGTCCTTCCTGCCGGCCGGGAGCGGACATCGACATTTGGAGGCCCGCCCGGGGACTGATCACCCCCGAGACGTGGAAGTGGACAACGCTCCAGTACAGAGCTGCGAGACAGGTGAGTTGGGGATAAGCCTGGGCTCTGGGTGGCGCGCACCTACAGGGCTTTTAGACTCCCCTCAGGCTCACGCGTAAGTGGCGGATTCCTTGGGCCTCACGCGGTGAGTAACATATTAAAAGATGGGAAACATGTTAGGTAGCAACACTAAGAGCGAGGGTGGTTGTGGAGAAAGCTCTCAAGAGCTTACAAAAGTACGCAGGGTATCTGAGCAGGCCCAGTCAGGGAGCTCCCGAGAGGGGTCCGTCAAGGGGAACAAGGATGCTAAGGAGGAGGACGGGGCTCTAGCCTCGGAGTCGTCTGACTCCGAGGACGAGGGAAAGTTGAATGGCAAGGAGGCCAAAGAGACCAGCTGTCAGGAGCCTAAATCGCTCAATAAGGAGTCGCAGGGTTCTTTTCCAGCGTTGCCCCGCGAATTGCGCTCTGCTCAACCTGGTCTGCGGAGGAGTAGAGAGCTCCTGAGCGCTCCCCGGCGCGAGAGGGAGGCGAAGCCTTCCGCCCCACCTTGGGGGCCGTTTCCGGAGGCGATTCCTCGCCACGAGGCGGCCGCCTGGGAGCTCTCTCCCCTTTCGCCAGAACAGGAAGTGATGCACGGGCCCCCATTTTCCGCCCAATCATGGCCGCTGTCTTATGCTCCGCCGCCGGCGGGTCGGTATTTTTACAGGCGGCTTTGGCAGGGGGGACGCTTGTCTCATGAGGTACATCCACCTGGGATAGATAGTGGCCCCTACGGGATATTTCCTGTACAAGTAGCTATGGGCCAGGGACGCAATGTATGGGAGCCTTTTGAGATAAAGCAGATTAGAGAACTTAAAAATGCAGTTACAACCTTTGGGCCGACTGCGCCTTACACCATTGCCATGCTGGAGAATCTGTCTTCTGGGCCCCTCACCCCCGCGGACTGGATTCAGCTGGCAAAGGCGTGTCTGCCCTCGGGTAGTTACCTGGATTGGCGAGCCTGGTACACAGAGTTCTCTGCAGAGCAGGCTGAGAAAAACGCCGGTCGAGGAAATGGGAGCTAGGGATTTAGCTCAGCGGCATAAGTGCCTGCCTCGCAAGCAGGCAGTCGTGAGTTCGATCCCTGGTACTGATAAAAAGGAAAAAGACAAAAAAAAAAAAAAAAAAAAAAAAAAAAAAAAACGAAAAAGATAAAAATAAAAAATAAAAAATAAAAAACAAAAAGGGGGAGTAAGCCAAGGCCTGCCTCCAAAGGCGCGGTTATCTATGGCAGGACAATGGATGGGCCCGGATCCAGTGGTCAGCTGGAACCGAGGCGCGGTTTGTGTTTTCCCACAGGAACCGGGACGAGAACCACTGTGGATACCGGAGAGACTGACACGGGCAACAAAGCCCTCGACTGAAGATCAGACCTGCCCTACTGGAGATCCATCACAGACCAACCAATAAGATGAATAGAAATAGCGGTAGCCCGAAATGGACAAGAAGATCCTCAGGCATATGCATGGCTTGCTCAATTGGCCCACGACCGAGTCTAGATATGGCGGGCATCCCTCATTCTCCTCCATAAGGTGACAATACACAGCAGGGTAGGTGAGTCAATGACGGGTAAGAGCGTGCCTCCCCAGCACAACTCGACCTAAGCCAGGCCCTACCCCATCCTGCACGTAAGCCGCTGGACTGTTAGATGCTGCCCAGGTCTAAATTTCTCTCCGAGGGGATTTCTTTATGGAGAGGAAATGAGTGCAAGCTTGTGTGCATCCAGGTTCCGTCCAGTTTGTGCCTGGCCCTAGAAAAAGGACGAGGGCCTCAGGGCCTTGGCAGACCATGGCATGGCCAACCAGGGTCTAAGCCAAGGACCTACGGTGGACCTACACATAGGGCATAAGCCTCTGCACCCAGTCCAGGAAGGGCTACGATGCGCACATTCATAAAAAATAAAATAGGGGGAGATGTTGGGAGCCGCGTCTGTGATAGCTCGCCTTGCGCGGCGGACGTGAGGCCTGTAGTAAAGAGCAAAGCCTGAGGTAGATTACCCCTCCCATCGAATATGTTAGTTTCCTGCTTACCGCGTAAACAACCCGCTCAACAATATAGTCTGCCTGGCAACTGATGATGTTAGCCAATCAGCTTGCCTTGCTTACTTTAACATGATTGGACACTGTACCCGTATATATACCGGTGCCACCCCTGGGCGGAAGAAGAAGCCAGGTAGAAGCCCAGAAGTAAAAGCCCAAAAGGAGCCGCGGAGAGCGGACCGGTAGAGGCTTTGGGGCAGACTGAAGCACAAAAGGAGCCGCGGGGAGCGGACCAGAGGAGGCTTCAGCTGGGAGAACCCAGGGCAGGCTGTACGGAGAAGGAAAATAAAAAGAAAAGGTTGTCCACTACCAGACTTTGTCGTGTGTCCTTCCTGCCGGCCGGGAGCGGACATCGACAACAGCCCATCTGCTGTTTTGCCCTGTAGCTACAAAATGCTGTCCCCAGTCTATCGTGCAAAATCTGGTGGTAAAGATACATTCATCTGAGTTTTTGTAAAAGGATACTCAGTCAATATTACTTGGTTTATTCCTCCTCCCCATATCTATCTCTTCCCCAATTGTATAATTCCACGTTACAAATTTACCCAGAAAGACTGACATGACTAATATACTCACATACTCATGTTTTATAACTAAGGAACATAAGAACCCCATAGGTACTGAGCACTCTTAAAATTTTCTACTTTTTTGTTGAAAAAATAGCAGTAGCATTGCTAAGTGAAAGAAGCTAAATGCACACACATTTCTTACAAAGACCATTTTTATCTTCATAAGTGTAGGACTTTGGAATTATCAGTCATGTTCATATGATAAATCACAATGCTTATGCCAAAAGTTACCTTGAGAAAAGTTAATACTTTTTGATATTCACAAGGAGACAGAGAGAGAGAGAGAGAGAGAGAGAGAGAGAGAGAGCTGGAAAATACATGCTTGTTATATTTAGCTTTTTCTCTGCAGTGAGAATAGGGTCAACCTAGTTTTATATGATGTTTCTTCTCAAAGGATAAAACTTTCTCAGACCAGAATGACCTGCTTTAATAGAAACTGAGAGTGCACGAGGCTGTGAGAAAGTCTACGATACTGAGAAGTTGTGCTGGGCAGGGGACAGCTTGATAATCTGTTCAATGACATACATAATTCAGTGAGTGTTACCCAAATGTTATAAAATATTTAGGACCTTGGGGTTGTTGGAAATCAGTGATGTGCTTTAACCCAGATGTTCACTGGTGTGGGGTTGGGGATACAAGAAATCAGTTATGAAAAATCAGTTTTGTGGGACACTATGATTTTGAGTAAAAAGGGTTATTTATGGCACAAAGGTTTATTGCTTCAGATCCTTGGTGTGTAGCTCTTGCAAATGTAGCATAATTATAGAACTTGTAAGAAGATTGTTAAATATTCTTTGAAAAGGAGAATTTTGAAAACCAATATTCCAAGGCTGCTATTAGTAACTATTTGACACATACTCAAAAATACTTTTTGAAGAAATAAGCAAGAAGATAACTAATTATCCCAGCCTTCAGAATCTCTTCCTTTGATAAATTCTTGCAGTATTCTGAACCTGCTTGCTTCTCTCCCATGCTCAGACCCTTTGTTGAGTAGCTATTACTCTGGAAAGTCACCAGATCTCTAAGCCTCAGTCTCCTCTAAAGTAAGAAGAGTCCAAAATACATGTATGTGAAAGTATACTGTCAACTATAGGGGTTTTATTATTACTTCAAAATGTAATTATTGTCAGTTAACACTTGTTCAGAGACACTATTACATAGTTCTTGGAAACACATTTTGTAGGGATTCCCAGTGATAATATTTTGAATTATTGTGGAAAGATCTGGCTATACCAAATGAGCTGTTGTACAGCCCAAAGGAATGTTCCTTAACTTTCTTTTAGACTTCTGATATCAAGCTAGCCATGTCTGAGAATCATCAAAATGAGGCTATTCTTCATATGTAACCTTCCTAAAAGAAAAAAAGCCTGATATATCCACATTAACAACCAAGGTATCCAATTCTTTTGCAAAATAGCTGACATATAGAAAAACCTGTTCTCTTCATAATTTTTCCTTATCTCTTGTCTAGTGATCTGATTTGGTTTTTTTTTTTTCATAGATGTAAGAACAGTACAGAATCTATTCTATTATTGCTTCAGCTGCCAGGAAACTCGGTGTTGTGATTTGTGTTCAACTGAAAGTTCCTCATGACCTAATTAAAAAAAAATCGTGTTCTTCCCTTCTCTACTTCATTGGTCAGTTTTTAACCTTTTATTGTCATCTTATTGGTGCTTTGACTTTATTGCACTTGGGTGTTTATGGTACATCTTGAATCTCTCTTGGAAGGCAGGGTATTGATGGCACATATAAGAATGAATACTTTTTACTGCTGCTGAGAGACACTAGTACTTCTGTCTAAGAGCATTTTCATTTCTCAAGGTCTCCATGCAATTCTTTAACTGTTTTCAAGGAGTGCCCTTGACCCCATGGATTATGACTTTTTTTTTTGAGAGAATATGAACTGGCTGGGAAAATATAAACAACCAAGAGGTGCAATTTAAACAAAGCATTTCAGGTTAGTCATTGAACCAAAGTACAAGGCACACACTGTATATAAAGCCAATGAAATTAAATCTTGCACGAGCCTGCAAATGTTAAGTAAACAGATTCAAATCCCCTAAGTGAACATTGCTGGCGACTGAAAGAGAATATCTGCAATAGTTCAGCGCATCTGGGTCTTGCTTTGAGAGAACCCAACATATGAAAAGCAAACTTCCAGAACATATGGGTAAAGGTGATGATTCACATTACAAAGGGATTAGTGAGAGGGTCTCTTCAAATAGTTTAAGACTTTCATGACAGAGATGGAATTTATATAACTTTCAGGAACATGCTTGTTTTATGAAACACAATGTATCTTAGGAGCTAGAGCTCCCTAGAATGATTAATTATTCTTTCTCATCCCAAGGGATCTGCATATTTTAGACATTCGCAGTGAAGTGTCAAATGACAAGCCTTATTTTAGGATCAAGTCATTCAGATCCAATATTTTTGTCCTCTCTCAAATTTAGCACTCTACAGAGATTTGCTAAAAGAAAATATCTGTCTCTTAATAATGCTACCAATCAGTAACCTTGTTTCAGCTTAAAGAAGGAGAGAAAATTATCAGTGAGCCTTAAGGAGAGCCACAAGAAGAGGCAGCTCTGAATGGTAAAGTATTTTCCTAGTAAGCAAACAATCTCTGCTGAGTCAGGGTTACTTTAAAAATGATCTTTGACCCAAGGCAAGCTGCTTTAGGGACCAAGAAGGAATGAAAACAAAATTGAGGATTTTGAATTTTTCTTTTACCATGGATATCTGGTTTGAATATGTTTTCTCTAAACCTGTGCATCAATAGTGCTTTTATTTCAAAATCATTGTTTTCTATTCCAAAGGTAAAACTGTTCTGAATGAGTAAGGATAATATGAAATTCTCCTCAAGTATACTGACTGTTAAACTGCAACTTGCTGACTTATTCTGACCACCAAGTAATAATACATGGTAATGCCAGACATGGGCAAATAGAAGGATATATAAGAGTTAAGAGAAACCACTGGCATTTAATCTCTGCATTTTTCTCCTCCTTCATATACCTTCATGTTTAAAGCCTGGACCACCTATTGAACTTGCATATGACATATCAAGAATAAAAGGACAGGAGGCTGGGGATTTAAGCTCAGCGGCATAAGCGCCTGCCTTGCAAGCAGGCAGTCCTGAGTTCGATCCCTGGTACCGAAAAAGACAAAAACAAAAAACTAAAGACAAAAAACAAAAAACCAAAACAATCAAAGGACAGAAGCTACAAAAGCCTACTCTGTAAATAAACTTGGAAGACAAGTGATTTCAGTCATTTCCCTTAGCGAGGCATTTTCTACCAGACAGACATGTTTCCAAACAGCACTCACCATGGGCTGGTACAGCAACCTGGGGAGAATAGCAATAGACGAAACATGTCTCCCACCTTCTCTTTCCCATACAGAAGGCCAAACCCAGTAAACAGCTCCCTACAATGTGATTTTTGACAATATGAATTGTAATGACAAGATGGAGAACTGAGGACTGCATGGAGACTATAAGTATGACATGAGAGACTCTAGAATATGGTCCAGCCTTGTCATTTATTAGTTGTGCAATGTTATGTAAGTAATTGCCTCTCTGCAGTGTTATCCTTTTTCTGATCAAAATGAGCATGCTAATTTATAACTAACATGAATATAAGAAATCTGGCCACCTTAGCAAGATTTCTGAGACTGGAAAATAATTTAAAAATTGGACTTGTTGGGTCATGAATAGATATGTGAAATCTTCTATTTCCCAGATCTCCAACTTCCTCCCTGAGCAAGAAGAGAAGTTGCCTTCAGAGGTGAAAGGGGACAGCCATGTGTGGTGAGAGAGGGTGCAGTCAATCCTTTGAAAAGACCATCTCTGCTGTGGAATTGATTAGGAGATATATTCTAACAAACTGTGAATGACTCCAGCTCAGGGAAGGCCAGTCCTTGAACCTACTCTATATAAAAGATGCCCCCTCTACCGAGTCAATTTTGAAACCAAATATGAGAAAGAAAAGGGGCACTGGCACATTTCCTCGTTCTGTTGCTGCTCCCCACTTTCCCTGAAGTCCATTTTGGTCTTTAAACTCAACAATAAAACCACATCAGCAGTTCTCTATCCAAGAGCCAAAACACTCATTTGAAAACCGATTGCTGGAAGAGTGCATTTTACATACCTTCAGGATGATGCAGGGATTTGCTCTGGTGTACATGATAATCCCGTTGCTTTGCAGGGTTCTCAGGCGGAGAGCTAGTTTGAAGTTTTCTTCTTTGCTATTTTCAGAAAGACGGTATTTGATATAACTGTTTCCAGCAAAGCTAAGAGAAGTGTGTCCTGAAAAGACCATTACAAGAACATATATAATGTTTTAACATCCAGAAATGAGCAGGGACACAAGAAATCACCCAACAGCTACCCAGTTAGTTGATTAAAGATGGGGATAAGTTAACAAAGGTATCAAGGAGAAACCTGTTTTCATTGGAAACTTGTTTTCTGCTTCATGTTATGCTCTAGCCTCAAAATGAAAAAAATGTATTAACTTGTCAGTTATGAAAAATATATTAGTAATCTCATGTCAAGAGTAACTTGATAAATTCCATAACCTGGAATTTTTTAGTATCACTAATCTCAAAGTCACACTTTGTAAATTTAGCATTGTTAAATGAAAACTCCTAATCCTTCCCCACACACACCTGCCCCATCAATCCCTTTTACTTAATTACGTGTTCAAGAACTTGAGATTCTATGAAGTGAAAGAAAAGACACCATTTTCAAATAGTATCTCTGTTCCCCAAGTAACCTAATGCCAAACTTATTTCATTTACACTAAAGATGAAGAAAGGTAAGTGGCATAAAGGAAATTCCGTGCAGTCACAGTTCCATTTTCTGGTCATTAATTTTAAGGCTCCCCTTCCCAGAATCTTTAGTCTAATCTATCATTGCCCAAGTTTGAGTTTATCATTTTTATTACTTCCAACTTTATGTTTTTAACGAGCAAAATAACTGCTAAGAAGCTGCCTTGTTAGAGTGATGGTGGGAAGTGTAGAAGTATACAAATGGGTAATTACCATGGAAACTAAAGGTTTCTACATAGAAAACATTAAGGGGATGGTCATGAAGTGACACCAAAAGGAATAAGACATGGCTATGTGGTACTTACGTATCCACCTGCTATGTTATGACGTGTGTTAGGTGGTGGGGGAAGAATGATCTTCTTTTAAGCCTAAACCTTACGTGACTTAGGTAAGCATCCTTTCACTTCATGGACAGCACTACTCTTAATATCAACTCTGAAGGAATTTTTGCGTTCATTTTTCAGAAAATACTTCTTTCAATTTTAAAACTCAAAAGTGTATCAAAGTGTCGTGCACATAATAGGCATAACTATTTTTATTTTCCCTGCAATCGCTATTGTTACCATCACTTAATAAACACTATTTGGAATCCAAAATTACTATCAGTGTATCTGTATTTTAAATACAACTTACAACAAAAAGAGAACTCGACTGGTGCCAAAAATGAATACTTTTTTTAGAGGAAAGGAGTGGCAGAGAATATATGAATCAAAAGAAGCACTGAAATTTAGTGAATATCAGAAACAGAGGACCATTTGAAATAAGACAATCTAAGTATTATTTTCCCTTATGTGGAAGAAACACTTTTTCTTTCTGGAACATGCAGTCAGTTACACATTTCCAGTATAAAATCAGCTTACTTAGTGCTTTGGTTTGTTTAACTATAGAAGGCCAACAGGATTCACCTGGCTCTACCTCTGTTGATCTGTTTTGTGGAGAACACATGCTATGGTTCTACCCTTTCTGTAAGGAGTCCAGTCTTTGCATGTTTTCTTAGTACATCCTGCAGCTGTGAGAAATCCCAAGCAAATGTGAGTGTGGAGGTTAACTGAGCTCTATTCTGAAGGGCGATGTACACATATATAAACATCTCCTTGAATGATCTGGGCAACGTATTTTACTCAAGAGCTAGTGTTTCAATAATATGAAATTAGACTTGTTAATCCATGTCAATTTGCACCTGAACACTCTCCAAGCTTCCCTGGTGGACACTGGCAGAGAAATGGTCTCCTACTGGCTTCGTAACCGACACACTGCATGTCCCCGGGGCACGGCTTCTCCACACAAGGATCATTGGACCCTGGGCACAGTCCTCCTGTGACAAAGGGAGAGGGGGAACATGCATGGTCAGTATGCAGAAGAAATCACCCTAAATTTTAGCAAGCACAGGAATATATCAAGAGCTTGGCTTTTTAGTCTCTGAGCTGAGTAATACCCAGATGCCCATCACATGTTCCTCCATCTGCCAGAAGCTCACTGTCAGATCAAAGCCAGTTAGGTGCAAACAGTAAATAAAGTTTCTTCTTTAAGGGTAACATATGCTAAACTTGCACTTGGACCAATGTCAGCTGAAGAAAGATCACATACAAAGCCTCTGCTAGTTTTTGCTGGAGTGGATTTGTGCGCTTGACAGGCATCTGCATGCAAATAACCTGGATTTAGATTTCTCATATTGCCTGTCTCAGCCCTGAAATCTTTGAGGGAAGACTGTAGACAAGGTGAGCTGTTGATTCAAAGCAGGGAAAAAGACATTTCTAAAGAAAAGTATGAATAAATTGTCAAAGTGCAACTCACGTTGTTCCTAATTCTTCCTCGCACATGCTATTTTATTGATTAGCTGTAAGAGTGCCCTAGCAGCAATCGAAAGTAGTAGAATCACTCTTGGCAAAGGAAGGCTTCCTCTCTATCTGTTTGATGTTCACAGCACAGAAAGATGAAAGGTTAGTCTCTCCAAAGGGAAATCCTGGAAAGCAGATTAACTGATTAAGGCAGAATCCAGGGCCCAAGTGAGTTAGGTCAAAACTGTGGTGAGGGCAGATAGGGGTTCAATGAAGGAAGTGCTATTTTCAACAATCCTGGGTAATTCAAGTGTAACTGTTTCCCTTCCAACCTCAGAAGAGTTTGAGTGGTAACAGGACTATAGAAAAGGACCCTGATTAAAACTAACCCGTAGCACAAGTGGTCATTTCCTAAATGGGCAGTGGCCTAAAGGGAGCAACTCTTCTTTCAACCTGTAACACACTGTAACAACCTGTAACACACAGTGGCTTTGTTCCTTGGCAGTAATGAACCCACTATCAAATTCGTCTCCATGATGGCTCTTTCCTTATCATTAAGCGCATTGTCCCATGTCACAATCTTTTTTTTTTTTTTTTTGGTCCAAGAGAAAGCAGTAATGTAATGCTAACTACATAAAAACATTTTAAAAACTGCAATTCTCAAGAGGAGCAATACAAGTAGCACCAGCAAACTCAGAATTCATAAATCCTATTTCCCACTGGTTTATAGCTTAGTCATAAAAGGCACTTTTGGCACTGATCCAGCTTACAAAAGCTTAGAATATGGAGGTATTTTTAGCTGAAAAATTAGAATGATCTCTATAAAAGATTCTACAAGACTCACGTGCCCTGAAATATATCTTCTAATTTTCTTCCCCCAAATGTTTATTTTTCTCCCATATATTTATCAATACTCATGGAAATTAAAACAGTTGTTTGCATATCTCATGACTGACTTCAACAGGTTTTGATGAAGAATTTTTGTATAACTTTCAGCACATTCATTCAGCAACAAGAACAAAATAGTAATTTGCTGGATTCATTCAACAAAATCTTTTTTAAATAAATGGAGTAAAATGAGTCTTCAAGGCCAATAAATCTGGACATATAAATATGAAAAGAAGTGACATCAACATACAAACACATGAATATTGTGCCTTTTTTTTTTTTTTTTTTTTTTTGTCTTTTTCATTTTTATCGGTACTGGGGATCGAACTCACGACCGCCTGCTTGCAAGGCAGGTGCTTATGCCGCTGAGCTAAATCCCCAGCCCTGCATGAGTATTGTGAAACAAGATAATATGCAACTGCTGGATTACTTGGGCATTACCTCCCAGTTAGACACAGTTCATGTTTGTAAAAAGTACAACATTTCTATTGTGCAGGAATACCTTGTCCTCTTTTACTTTAATCTTTTATTTTTTCTGATCTAAGGATACACTATCAATTTCTACATTTCTGAGACAAAGCTGTAAATATTATATTTTTAGCCTGTTCTGCTTTTATGTAATGGCTGTATTGCTAAGAAATCTTGGATTAACATAAATCCACTTTAAAAGTCAGTTACAAACAAAAAAAGAGGGCTAGATAATTTCAGATCTGTGGCAGCAAAGGTGTTTATTCCTGTAGGAATCACAGTCACATATTTTAAAAAACAAAACAGCTATAAATGTATATAATAAAAGCTAAACACTGTATTTTAGCACAGATTCAGGTTTTGGGTAGTTCTATATTTTACTATGTTTTGTTTACCATTAACAGGGGCTGGTAGTTGCCACAGGGCTTTTTAGGTCATAACCTGTATCTCTGACTTTGAGTTAATGCACAAACTCACCAGTCTCGTTATTTCCTTGTGTTATTAGATATAGCAAGTCATACAATTAAATCATTCATTAATTCATAGATTATGCCAGCTCTAATCCCTACTATGAAAAATGTAGCTCAAGGACATATTTAAAAACATTTCTATAAACACAGAGCAAGCACATTCTGCAAATAACATTAAAATAAACATGAAATATAATGTATATTTATATTCACTCCAGAAACCATTAATTTTGATAGATTCTTTTTGTTTTTAGTGGGATTTTAGGGTCAAGGAATGTGTCTCAATGCTTTAAAAATCCTTTCAGAATCCTCTGGTCATAGCCTGAGACAAGCTAAACCGTAAACTTTAGATCTGTGGCTGTTTTGGATTGCTGTGTTCACAGGCTCGCTCTCTGGTGGCTCAAGGAAGCCCGAAGGCAGATTGGAGTCTGCAGGTCAGTGTGCTTGCATAGCTCTAGTTAGCTGGGGACAGAGGTGACTATGTGCACAAAATGTGGTGTGCTCCTACTAAAGACTTACAAAGTTATTGAAAAACAAGTTCCTCAAAACTAAGTATTCTCCGTATCCAACACTGCAGTCCTTTTCTTTCTGTAAACTACCATAAGAAATTAGCTCCTTTCTAAAATGTACATTATTAAGAGGGACTTCCCTTTTGAACACCAGCCTTAAAAAATGCTCTGTGACCCTGGGCCTTAGATGGACTGGGGTCTGAATGAACCTCTTTTCAGTCGAAGACCTAAGTTCTTTAGCTACATAAAATCCAGGATTCCTTAAGTGGATACTGAGGGGTTAACTTGTTTTCAGAAATCACCTGTTTAAGTCATTCCCCTTCCAGGGAAGTATAAATACCTATTATTGCTAAGAGCTTTAAAGACCAGCTCTCTGCTGGCAGAAAGTGCCTCATCAGCTCCTGAGTACCAGTTAAGAGACAAAGTGTCAACTCCTGTTGGCTTCTGGGAGGAAGTTTATCTTATTAACTATCATTAAATAATCCAGGTTTAATGAACTTGTGCTGTGTTCGGTGACAGCTTGGGGGATGGGGGTTGTAGACCTGCATACTGTGCATCTCCAGCATCCATCAATTTGGTACCAGCGTGAACATGAGCTACCACTTTATCAAGCTCACTGACACCGTTTATTGTGTGCCAGGGCAGGAACAGACGATTTTAGCTTCCTGTCACAACATAAAGCAGGGAGAGTTCCTCATTCCCAGGTCCCCTTGGGAAGGCAAGTTGTGTGACAGGAAAGGTTACTGACTGCATTGACAAGCTGCAGACCTAGATTTGATTTAATCACTATGTGGCCTTGGACCAGCTCCTTGGCTTTTCTGGGTTTCAATTTCCTTTTCAGAAAAGTTTGAATAATGATTCTTCTTAGTGTTGTGAAAATTAAATGAGCTAGTGTATGTAAAAACAACTTGTAAAGATTTTAAAATATTTAAACAAGGTCTCAACCTGGAGACCTCAACTTGACTTGGTAACATGGCAGAGATCTGAACTGGGTATAATATTTATGTGCCATGTTTTTTGGACCAGATTTGTGCTTTGTAAGTTGATAGATGATAGAAAATACATGTGCACGGAAGGCATAAAGCAAGACCTGGAACATTTCACTCATCAGCATCCCAGGCATGTGCTGCTGGGTGTCTGCACCACTCTCTCTCTCTCTCTCTGGTGCAGCTGGTGTTTATACACAAGTTTCCTCACCAGGAGAAATGTGAATGCAATGTGGCCAGTCTCTGGAAGAAGGTTTTCTACCTTCCGAAGGTTTGTTCAGTGGACTTTTTGGTTACTTTCTACAGTGTTGACAACGGTGGTTTGGAATGTGGAGGGAGAAGGGGTTCATTTCTTGAAGTTTTAGAAAGGTCTCACTGCCACATTTATGACTCTCCTCCATTTCTCTTCACAGCATCCCCATGGTTCCCTGGATTAAGTCTACACCATTAGCCAATACATCAGTATCTAGCTGTGATTATTATGCTGCCACTTTAAGCTGACTCAACCTCTTGATTTATGCCACAACCTTATTACACTGAAGAATCCAATAACTCATGGTAAACATCTCACCCCCAGGACTCATGTACTTGCCAAGATGCCACGTCCTGGCCAACACCACATAAGCAAATCAGCTGCCTTCTTAATTCATGGCCTGTAAGAAGTGTTCTGATACACTGTTCTAATACATTTTCCTGACGTCTGTGTTTTGAAGTAATCTCTTGTACGGGCCCAGAGGCAGAGGCTCCCCAGAATGTTGTTTGCTTGATTCATCCGTCTTTTTAATATGATTTCACTAAAGGATGAGTGTAGTTTCATTTTCCCTTGGGACCCTGTGCATGGATGGCATACATATAAGGAAATTTTCATGTTAAGAAGCAGTGACAAAACCTCTTCTGGCACTTGGGACTCATGTATGCCAGAGAGGAAGGATCTACAGAGACATATCTCCTATGAATAGAAAATAGAAACATTCCCATTTGTAGGAGGACCTTTTCTTTTTAAGATTCAGATACAATGCTGAGGTTTTTCCACAATACTAGTATTGGGAGTACTGGCTCCCTCATCAATTAGTATTAACAAAGACTGACCTCAAAACAAACTCGATTTCAGAGTTTTATTTATTTGTTTAAAAACTCATAAAGCCAAGTATTATATTGCTTTTTATTACCTTGTGTTGATTAGAAATTCATCACCATGGCTACTTACCAGCAGACT